AAAACTCCTTGTAACACCAAAGATGAACTAAAGGCAAGAATTATGGTAGCATTCATCGTCTTAAACAAGGGGACCATTCAGAATAGATGCAAGAGATTGCGAGGTCGTCTGGAGGCCATGGTTGAAGCTAATATCGATTTTATTGAAGAAATTTAGTCTTTATTATTTCAACTTATTTTTGTGTAATTTTGTTAAATATGACTGTTAAAATAAGATGTCAGTGTTATTTTCATTTTTGCGTCATTTAGACGACAGTTTATCCATCGTACCTATATATATATATATATATATATATATATATATATATATATATATATATATATAATACACCTAGTGAGCCAGACAAAGTTACCTAGGTTTCACCTTAACGGATCTCAGGAAAGCAAGGCCTTATTTTCCCTGACGATCCGCTTAGGTGAAACCTGGGTAGGTTTGTCTGGCTCACTAGATGTATCTAGGTCTGCTCTACGGTTGTATTGAGCGCTTTTATTAGTTAGTTGTTTACTCGTATCGGGTTTTTTTTTTGGGCTTCAGACCTGCATCTGTGCGATTTTTTTGTCGGCAGAAGTTCATGTTTGTAACTCTTTCTTTTTTTCCTTTAAACCTTTTTTCCCTCGAGATTGATTTGATTATTAGCAAATCAAAAATTCGAGGGTTTTTCGAAACGAATCTAGTTATCTATAATTATATATATATATATATATATATATATATATATATATATATATATATATATCAGGAATGATGGATTCTTTTTTCTTGGAATTTTTATTCTAAAAATATACATGTATGGGTATTTATATATTTTGCGTATGTATGTATATTTACCACTAATATTATCTATCTATCTATCTATCTATCTATCTATCTATCTATATATATATATATATATATATATATATATATATATATATATATGTAAAAATATATAGAAAATAGGAAAGAACTCGTTAGGTAAATAATCCAAAGTTCTTTAGTATTTTTGTTATTATTTTTTAAAAATAGTGCTCGATACAAAAAATTTGAAACTCCATAGCCTAAATAAAAAGTTTAAATGCCCAACCCAATAAAAAAAAAAGATAACCCTTTATGAAGTCGTCAAAAAAACAAATGTTAGCGAATTATGACAGTTTTTTTTTTATATACACAAAACCCTTTCAGAAAAAAAATAAAATAAAAAAATAAATAAATCTCCATAGACACTTAAACAGACTAAACGATGTCATCTTCCGCTTTGAATTTAGACACCCCAACCTTACCCTGACTTGACCTCTTTGAATGTAACTGAGATATTGATACAAATTATTAACCCTTACGCCTCCTTTTTTTTTTTTTAAATAATTGCTCTAGCAGTTACCATAGTAATTTTAATTTTAATAATGAATATGCTTATAAAGCGCGTAAATTTCAGGAATTAGTTATTAAAAAAAATTTCGCTTGAAGAAGGAACAGAGCTTGGTACTTTAATTCAATTTAATTCAAATAATTATATTGAAATTTTCGGCTCTTGTTTTGAAACCTGAGAACTCTTATGTAGCGATGGAACCACATTCTTAAATAAATAATATATAATATATATATATATATATATGTGTGTGTGTGTGTGTGTGTGTGTGTGTGTGTGTGTGTGTGTGCCTGTGCGTGTGTGTGCGTGCGTGTCTCTATATATATTACATATATATTCTTCGGTTTAAAAATGTAAAAAAATAGTTAATATGTGAGGTAATTCTGTGGTTTCTTTCCAGAAAATGTCCAATTTTATTTTACATTGTACCTTATTTTCCCGCCAGTTCAAGGGTCAGTTGAGTTCCAAAACTGCATTGTGCTTTATGTCATGTCAAAAAGATAGCTGCAGGGCATGGTAAGGGATACAAGGAACTGTGATGTTACCTCAGCTTTTACTTCGTAGGAGTGACATGCGACTCGATACGTGGACATTGTTTTGGAAGTGTGGGCCCCGGAATAAATATAAGCTAACGGACTTTTACAAGCAATATTAAACTTGTACATCTTCTGCTAAAATTGTATTTTGACGTCAGCCGTGTTTCCAAGAATTTGGGAGTTCTGTATTGTCTATTTTGGGAAATAAATCTTGCCAGTGAGTTAACATGTATAGATCTTATTCTCGTGGTTGATGTTGGAATGTGGGTGGAACAGGGTGGGGTCATCAGTTACATTTTTCTTATAGAAAAATTATAGGTGACTCCTTATAACTGGTATGTTCGAAAGTTAATAAACACCGGACACTATCGAGGATCGAACTCAGTTCGCTGGTAATCTCAGCCGAATAACTTCCTCTCTGCCATCATTTTAAAAGAAAAACGATATATTTCCGTAAGATTAGCTAAATACTGTAGAATAACAAGTGTCTCTCTGTTAATAGTAAAATGTGCTTACGGTCAAATCACGCTGAAACACCGGTTCTCGTTCGATCACCGAAGTTAAGCATCGTAGAGCCAGCTTAGATGGGGGACCGCTTGGGAACACCTGGGACTGTAAGCCCCCAAAGTCAAACCCTTACCTCACAGTCGGTGGGGGGGTGTAAACGGTAGTGTCAGAGCTATGCCGCCCGGAACTTCGTTCCTGGTAGGGCCACCCAAGGCGGACAGGTCTGACACACACGCCGGCTAACAAGGAGCGTCTGCATCGGTAACCGGCGGCTTCTGGTCGTTCCTGTCTCTGCGTCTGTGGGAACCCCGCGGCAAGCAAGAACGTTATCCGAGTAGGCCTGGGTACCCTACTTCTGTAATTTATCCCAAGAATCTTCTTCTCATAACAGGAAGAAGCCGGCTCAATCCGCCCAGGGTGAATGCCGCATCAGTACAGTAGTAATAGTAAAATGTCAACCACTGAAATAATAGTAATAAAATCAACTATTACTACAACTACTACTACTAATAATAATAATAATGATAATAAGAAGAAGAAGTAGTCGTAGTAGTAGAAGAAGTACGAGGAGTAGTAGTAGTAGAATTAGGAGAAGAAGAAGAAGAAAAGAAGATGTAGTAGTAGAAGAAGTAGGAGGAAAAGAAGAAAAAAGATGTAGTATTAGGAGGAGAAGAAGAAGAAAAGATGAAGAAGGAGAAGAAGAAGAAAAGAAGTAGTAGTAATAGTAGAAGAAGAAGAAAAGAAGATGTAGTAGTAGTAGAAGAAGTAGGAAGAGAAGAAAAGAAGTAGTAGAAGAAGAAGGAGGAGGAGAAGAAGAAAAGAAGTAGGAGGAGGAGAAGAAGAAGAAGAAGAAAAGAAGTAGTAGTAGTAGAAGAAGAAGTAGGAGGAGAAGAAGAAGAAAAGAAGTAGAAGTAGGGTGAGGAGAAGAAGAAAAGAAGTAGTAGTAGTAGAAGAAGAAGTAGGAGGAGGAGAAGAAGAAAGGATTTAGTAGAAGAAGAAGAAGTAGGAGGAGAAGAAGAAGAAAAGAAGTAGAAGTAGGGGGAGAAGAAGAAGAAAAGAAGTAGAAGTAGGGTGAGGAGAAGAAGAAAAGAAGTAGTAGTAGTAGAAGAAGAAGTAGGAGGAGGAGAAGAAGAAAGGATTTAGTAGAAGAAGAAGAAGGAGGAGGAGAAGAAGAAAAAGAAGTAGAAGTAGGGGAGAAGAAGAAGAAAAGAAGTAGAAGTAGGGTGAGGAGAAGAAGAAAAGAAGTAGTAGTAGTAGAAGAAGAAGTAGGAGGAGGAGAAGAAGAAAGGATTTAGTAGAAGAAGAAGAAGTAGGAGGAGAAGAAGAAGAAAAGAAGTAGAAGTAGGGTGAGGAGAAGAAGTAAAGAAGTTGTAGTAGTAGTAGAAGGAGGAGCAGAAGAAGAAAAGAAGTAGTCGAAGAGGTAGAAGTAGTAATCGAAGAAGCAGTAGTAGTAGGAGGAGGAGAAGAAGTCGAAGAAGAAGAAGTAAGTGTAGAAGAAGAAGAAAAAATCATTAGACGTTTAAACTTAATTCAAATTTAAAATCAGTCCAAGTTATTGGAACAGCCTTTACTATTTTCAACTACTCAACAGCAAGATGATATTGCAAATCTGATTGAAAGAAATAAAGCCCGACGTGAATTGACTATGAAAAAAAAAATAGCATTTGATAATGTTCCACATGATTGATCATAAAGACATTACAATTAATCTTCATTTCTTTGCGTCTCATTAATATATTAAACAATTCCAGCATGAACAAGTGATAAAAAAAAAATAAAACAAATTAATCCTAAATCACTTTAATGGTGAAATCAAATGTGACAACTCAGTGCTCAATAGAGGAACATTATAAAGAGATTCCCGTGTTCCACTCGCTTGTTCTGTTGCATTCATAAGCACATCAAATAAAAAAAATAAACAATGAATCGTGTGGCTATTAGAGAGCTGATAGACTCATTTGTCACTTATTCTACATGAATGGCTTAAAACTACTTTCGAAAAGTGGTAAACGATGTGGTGGGGGGTAAGGATAACGAAAATAAAATTTGGGTAAGGCAAAATATAGCAATTGGGGCGAAAACTGATACAAAATTCGACAAAAAAAAAGCAAAACAAAACTGATTCGTGACCTAGAATCAGAGAATGTCTATAAATATCTTAGTATAAATAAAGAACAAATAATCCGTCGTGTAAAAAGAAGTACAAAGAACATCTAAAAGCTAATGGCAACAGCCGTCTCTTTAGATGGAACATTTGTGGAACTGACGCCTAAAAGGATGTTTCCCCCGATCACTACAATTTTAACCTGTTCAAGTATATGGTTAACTAACATTTATCTTTCTCTTCTACCAGTACAAATTACTTCTTAACGTAATCCTCTACCACGAGTGGCATCGGGCCTTGTACAGGGTGAACCTTACTGAAAAAAAAATCTACATTGGTTGAACGTGCAGACTGTCCTGCTAGTAACTGAAATTTATAAAATCTTCCCCATTAATCCTTTGATACCTGACCACCGCTTTACCGGTGGTAAAGAAAAATGGTGAGATAATGACCAGCTACAGCGGTACAGAAAAATGATTTAATACCCAGCCACCGGTTGAACGGTGGGTAAACACTTGTAGCTATTTTTATATCTACCGTAAAACATTACATACTATTTGCGAAGTTTGATTCAGGAGCTCAGACAGAAGGGTTAAAATTGTTCAGGAACGCAAGACTCAAAGGGTAAAGCCAGTAAATGGTTTCGCACATTCTAATACTGTTTTTAGTTTTGTATTTGTATTTGAAATATTAACACCTTGATTATAATATTTTCTCTTGTTACATATGCTAAAGCTGTTTGTTGCTACTGTAGGAAGTCTTAAAGTTTTGGGATTTTTGTTATTTTATAAGGAATTCTTTAGCGATTTGGTAGCACCAGCCTATAGACTCTGACCAACGATTGTCTTCTGTAAGAAATATAGGATTTAATCTTACGGCGCCATTTTTCAACATTGATCTGAAAAAAACATTTTCATACTTGTAACTATTTTTATATCTACCGCGAAACAATACATACCAATTATTTGCAAATTTTCATTCAGGAGATCTAAAAGTGGTCAAGAATGCAGGGCTCAAACGATTAAAATAATTTTGCAGGAAAATAAGTTTCTCAAGGGCAGTAGCTGTTATAGATTTTACGGCCATATCACGTTCAAACATCAGTTCCCGTACGATCACCGAAGTTAAGCAACGTCGAGTCTGGTGAGTAACTAGAGGGCTACCAAACGATGCAAGCTTGGATGCCCGGGTGGGTGTAATGGATATCTGTTCGAAATTGAAGATTGGAGAGTTCCAATTCCATTCTGGTTCATTATATTCACTTACGCGCATTTAACCTTGTGAAAGGTATGAATCCACCACTTCTCCCCCAGCTATGGGTTAATTATCACGTTGCGCAATCCTCACCTCTAGCCGTTGAATAGCATTGCACTGACATGATAAATAAAGACATTTTTTGAAGGGTGGGAAGATTATCTTTACGGACAGAGGTAGAGAAGTGGTTACGTACTCCAACAGTATTAAAACATTAAAAAATTAAATTAATTATATGAGGAGATACTATCAGAAAAAAAAATATTTACTACGTAATCAAATCTATCGAAATCTGGTATAAACAGTTTACTTAGGTGGATCAAAGTTTTAATATTATTAAACTTTTATGTTTAATGATATACTAAAAAACACCGTCAGGGTAGCCATTTGCGAGGAAAATGTCGGCGATTTGCATTATAGATGAGGATATACTATCATAAAAAATGACTACGTAATCAAATCCATCGAAATCTGATATAAACAGGTTACTTAGGTGGACCAAAAGTTTTAATATCATTAAACTTTTAAGTTTAATGTTGCACAGAATAACACTGTCGTGAGGAAAATGTCGACGATTTGCCTAAGTTCAACATCCAATTTACATTCCGAGCATATCACCAGTTCACGGTCGATAATAGTTTTAGTAAGCTTAAGTTTCATAGATTTGCAAAGGAATTTAGGCAAAGGAATTCTAACTAAGTTATAACCCCTCGTAAAGGTGTGTGGGGAGTCTTCTTTATACGCTGGTGAGAAAAGATGTGGAAGTTTTCTCGAGTAAAACATCTAAGAAATATTATTTTTTTCTTCCATCGTAATTTGTTAGGAGGTATGGAGATGTTTTAAATATTGGAAAACTCTATTCACCTCGCCGTGTGATTTGAAAAAACGTCAACATAACGTAAGTTACAGTATGGTTTGGGAACCTTAACAGACACTTGTTTCTCCTGTAACCCTACGAAAATATCAGCCATAAGATATTCCTGTCGATAGATAACATTGAAACTGAACGCGACAGACTTAGTGGCCATCTCCATCAGCTCAACAAAAAAGTTCACGGGAAAGGAAAGAGGTTTTGAGGGGCCACGATATAAGTAGTCAGTACAAATGTTAATATTAGGTTGGTGCAAAAATAATGACGTAATAATGTCGTTTTTTGACGTTAAACAATACGTCAAAAACGACATTATTACGTCATTATTTTTGCACCAACCTAATAGTTTCATCTAGAGGTACATTGGTGAACAGACTAGAAATATCATCATCATCATCATCATTATCATCATCCTCCTACCCATCATCATCATCCTCTTGATTTTTGTAATCGTAGGGAGGGGTATCCGAATGTAGAAGCCACGCTAAATCACCTCCACAACAGGCTATCGACGGCAGTCATCAGCAATTCTGGTATAGTCATACCTGTTCATTGTTTGACATTTTCCAACCAGTTTTTACTTTGGCGTCTTCTCCTACGTCTACCTTCAACGGTGCCTTGCATGATTTTCTTGCGCAGACTGTCGTGCCTTGTAATGTGTCCAAACCACGCCATATTTCTCCGTTTGACAGAGGCGAGAAGAGGTTCATGGTGACCCACAAAACTTTCAAACCTTTTCCGCACACTCATTTGTTTTATGTTCCCAGTAACATGCTGTATATATATATATATATATATATATATCACAGATTGAAAGGAATCTGTAATACAGTAGTCTGAATAAAACTTCAGAGCAGGATCAAGAATTTCAACAAGCCATCTT